TGTTTGGTGTGGCCTATCAATTCTTGTCAGCACCAGATTTCACCAATATCTATTATTTCAAAGTGGCCAAGTACCCCTGTTTTTATAATACGAATGATAATTCTAGCACTTGCCTGTTTAGACAGTATTCTAAGCACATTGCATCATGGCTGGTGCCCCAAGTGTGCAAGCACATGCAGCATATATGCACATAGATCTGACAGGCTTGCAATTGTGTGTACCTGCTCACATGAGGAGAAACACGGTGGCAGCGTGATGGTCTGCTCACTCACTATTGCACACAAATAGAATAAATTATTTTGCTCGCTTTGGCTAAGCGATAATATTTCTGCTATTTTATAATCCCTCAGTTGGCACCATCCCTGAACCTGGGTTTTCAATAGAATATTTTGTTGCAGTACCATTGTGCAAAAGCATCTATGATTTCAGGACAGTGACCAGCAGGAGCAGACGCCAGTGACTCCAGCTCCTGGAAGTAGTCCTGTGGCCTCTGGAGTGATGCCCTGCACGCAGACACAGCCTCAACAGGGACCCAACAGGCCCGTGAAGAGAAGCTCCGCTGCTGCCGATGCCACAGCCATATATAACCGCGTGGCTGAGGCAAAAGTTCGCTTGCTAGAGGCCCAGACAAACGCCGTTGAGGAAAAACGAATGCTAGACATGGAAAGACAAAGATTAGAAATTGGTATCCTTACACTCCAACGAGATCAAGAAATCCTGAAACTAAAACTACTACAAAAAGAATGTGAAAAATTCAATCAGTAATTAACACTGCTCCTTAAAGTTTGTTCTGTACAGGTAGAAGCTGAGGAAGGGGAGGAGAAAAGAGCACGTGGGTACGTCAGAACCTTGAGCTGTGGTTTGAATTATTAGTGGGTAGATGCAAAACCGTGCTCACTGTTTGCATGCATTCGAATGCCAAACACCGGCGTCTAATGTTCTGTGCTCGCTTTCAAACAGTGAGTAGAGACAAAGGCTCTGCCTCTATCCACTAATCATTCCAACCAGAGCTTGGTGTTCTTGCATGCCCGCTCGCTTTCATCTCCTCCTCTCCCTCAGTTTCTACCTGTACACTTCTTCATTCAATAAAACTCGAAATCTGTTCATTGATGTTGCTTTTCTGTTTTATTATTGCTGTCGGATCATCACAACAACCAACATGCAATAAATATAGCAATAGCTAGGGTTTAGTGGCTTGTTACTAACAAATCCTTTGCTTAATGAGTTGCAGTAATGAAGGATTTGAATGATCAAGTCAGATTGTAGAAACATTCAGTATGTTCATTAGCGACCTAAGGTATTGTGTTTCGAATAAATTGAGCTTAATAATTGTCAATGAAGTGGGTCATGACCCCGAGGCTCCAACATACTTATATCATAGAAGATGGGGCTGTGAGGTTAATCCGAGTATAGCCATTTTTTCATCCTGACATTGCCTGTTCAGATATTTTTTTTTCTATCAGAGCCCAGTTGGCTAATTCATTGCATAGATATGCAAAAACACTTTCTTATCAATTGCTCAAAGCTCGTCAATTAGTGAAAATGCATAGGCATCAGATATTAATATTGAAATATTGTAGTAGGGTCTACGAACAATGTTATTGCTACACCGTAGTGGTGTCATAATATAAACCCGCCTCAAAGTAAATTTCGTTATTCATCACATTGGAAGACAAATATTTATAGACTCCATGCCACTGGCAATCTTGTCAATAATGGGGCTGTTAATGGTCAGTGTCTGACTTTCCTAGCTCCTGCAGTCATTATTTCAAGAAAGGTTTACCAGTTGGTCACTGTGAAAGAATTTAGTTTTCCAGCATTGCAACACATTTCAATTATATCAATTGCATTCATATTTTATTGACCACTACAGCTGTCCTGTTATTGTTATTATACTATTATTGGCAGACAGGTTCCAGCAATGCCGGAAGAGGGTGCACAAAAATCTAGGAGCTCAGCTAGGTTTTTGTACGTCAGGGTCGTGCTTGCTATTCTAATTTTACCTCCTCCATTGTTGAAAAAAGTGCCTCATGGCAGCATAGGCATGTTGGCACAGGGTTGCGACAACGCAAGCTGTTTTATTTGATACCTTTTTTTCTTTCTTGCCTGAGCATGCTTACCAGGAAGTCGTGAGCCACACTGGAAACCTGAGAGAGCCGCATGTGGTTGCGAGGCGCAGTTTGGCCACCCCTAGCCTAGTATTCTGCTTTGAAAATCCTCTGTTCTTATTATCAACCCAATTATTGATATTCTTGTTGGAGTTTAAACTGATGTTATGTATGTTGTACCACTGAGTAGGAGGAATCTGTTAATTATCTTAGGAAAAAAGTGGGGCCAAAGCAGTAATACAAAGCTTACAGGTTTTGTTTTCATAAAAATAAATATTTTATAGCTTTTCTAGCTTCAATTAACAGTTGGAAAAAGCAGGACTACACTTTATGTCATCTTAATCTACAGTTACAATCAGGTGGTAGCCAAGTCGTTAGTTTCCCCCCAAAGCAGACCTGTATTGCCAGAAAGTATGCACGACAAAGTGAGAAAAAAAAAAATCGGAACAGTATTTTTTTGCTTCGTTCGCAAAATGAGGGTTTAGTTGTCCTCATGTTATCTAAAACAAATAAGGGGCACTAACCAGATGGTTACTGCCCCTTATGTTGTCGAAAATGACAGTCTACAATGTAGAGGTAGTCATGACCTTATTTCCCCACAAAGCACTCTGTATTGCAATGAAGTGTGCTTAATAAAATAAAAAAATACGAGCTGCATTACTTTTTTTTTTTTTTGCAAAACCATGGGGTTAGTGCTTCTTACGTTATCTAAAATGAATATGTTATTCAAAAAGATTCTACAATGTAGAGAAAATCATGACATTAGTTTCCCCACAAAGCATCTCTGTATTGCAGTGAAGTGTACTAAACAATATGGTCAACATGAGCAGCTTTTCATTTTTCCACTCTTTGCTTATATCCAGGTAGATAGCTCCCTGGCACCTAAAACTAGAGCTTATAAAGTTTGTTCGTAAAGTATTCAGTGATTTTTATTGTCTTGCTAACCCGGGGCGCGGCTCCAACGTCAATTGGCCAACAGTCGGGACCCTTCCGCACATGCGTGAACAATCACTTTACCTTTCTGCTACTTAGTTGGCAGCAAGATGCCATTGATTGAGGTGAAGCACTGACTGATCATCAGATTTACTATGACTTAGCGAGTTGATCAGATATTACAGACCTTATACTTCAATATTCATCACCGGACACTTTCAGGTACAATTCATTGAGCACTCCGGAAATGGTCGGCATGCCATTGAGAGGGATGCATGCTCCACAAGGCCCTTCACAGCCAGAATACCTGGCAACTTAAAGTGCACGTGAGCTACTATCAACAATAACTGCCGGGTGACAGTGAGAGAATTAGGAGACCTGGCAATTCTACAGACAACACTTTCAGATGTTAGGATGGAGGATTTAAGCCTAAAACGTGAGGTGAAAAAAAATTCATTGTGCAGTTTCTGTCACAGGATTGGTGGATTGCCATCCTATTCTTTTATTTCAAAATAGGCATTCAATCGGTGGTGCCTATCCAGGTGGTACTTATAGAGGCATGTTATTTTATAAAGATTTTTCTTCTTCACCCTAATTTATGTCACAAAAGCAGAATGATTTTCGTGCTGAAGTTGCATAGAACTTGATTTAAACCAACAACAATCCAGATCCTAAAGAAAGTTATAACTAAAGCTGGGCGTCGATTAAATATTTTAGCCCGATTAATCTTCGCCTTTTATTGATTAATCGGTCTCGTTCATTTTCTTGCAGAATGCTCTAAAAAATCATTTTTGTTTTGCTGCTGAATTTGTGATAAACGATGCAAAGAGATTTTTGATTATGAACCAACCTTGGTGTAGTTGAGAACAGTTGAAGGACACACACACTCAGATTCTTACTTCAGCTGTATGAGGCCAAGAGGTTCGGTCATACTCTCGGGTAATAGATTGATTTCCTCTGATTATTCACAATAGTCTATGGTGCGCTAAACGGACACTCGCATGGCATTGAAGTGGCCGGCACGCTTGAAACCTTCTGCATCCGTCTTGAGTTACAAATATCACCCATAGAGTTTACATTAGGTTAAACTTTTCCCTAAAGTTTGCCGTTTATACAGGTGTACTCGTCCACGTCTGCGTGGTGGGAACATTTAATTTTTACTTTCTTTTGATTCGTCAAAATTTTACCGATTAACTGTTTGAAAAATTAACCAAGATGAAAGCATGAGGTTAATCGATCAACGGCCTAGCCGTAGTTATAACTTGAGATGAGTAATGGATTAAGAACTGTGACCTTAAACAAAAGCTTACTCAAGCCAATACAAGTCACCCAGGTCTCCAGATTCTAAGAGAGCACAGAAAAGTCGGAGCCACGCGAACATACTGTTGACAACCCCTTTTGATTATAAACGTTAGGTCCATTATGAGTATGGTCCTTCAGGCCGGACAATAAATAAAGAGCACACTACATGGAAGTTTTTCGCCGCCTGAGATGCCATAGGAATAAAACGGCAGGAGTTGCGCGCAATAGGTGATTGACAGCTTCATCACAACAATACATCTGCCATTTCGTCACGTCTCGTACGGGGTTTTACCCAGGTATACCAGCTCCCCTACTGTCCAGACATGGCACCCTATTACTTCTGGCTTTTGCGAAAGCTGAAATCGCAACGCAAAATATTTTAGACTTTATTGAGATAAGAGACAACACGACGAGGCAGGGCAGAAATTCAGACACGGGTCTCGGTGTGTTCTGATGTCTTTACGTGACCCTCTCAAGTGTGTTCTGATGTGACCCTGCCAATCTAGTGTCTTCTGGGGTGACCTCGTCATGCATACACAATATAACCTAGATGCAGAAAGGACTGCTGATGACAACGGCTAGCAAATTGTGCAAAAAGAATACCAATTTTTTGAAGGTTTAGGTGTTCATTCTGCCATGAAATAAAACTACAAAGACAATGAAACTTACTATTTTATTTTTTTTCCCAACACGCACCACTCGCACACATTCCCTTGCAGACAGGGCTGTCCATGGCTCTTTTCTTCCATGCCGTTTTTGCCAGCACATCTGTATGGCTAAGATGATGGCTTGGGCATGTTGGTATCGCATGATGAAACCTACAGTGCATAAAAAAAAATACACGAGCAGTTATTCATAAACAAAAACCTTAAAGTAATAAAATTACAACAGTAAACAAGGAAGTTCTGTCGTGTCCAGCCTGATAATCAGTCAATTTATCACTCGGCCTGCCCTCCCGCATTCAATCTGCTTTTCCATACCTGTGGGCAACATAATACAGTCAAACCCGAGTATATCAAACTCTCAATAAACCATCTACCATTTCGATATAGCGGGCAATTCACTATAAAAGTTTAAATGATTTTGACAACGAACAAGCACGTCACATTTAGAAAAGTAGTTCTCTCGAAGGGGCATCTGTACGTCATGAGGAACGCTCACCGCAGCTATTTAGTGGCCGCTTCTTCGTCTACCGGCTCACCCTCTCCCCCCGCGAGATATATATATATATATATTTTTTTATCTTCTGGGCGGTCGACGCAACAGCCCAAAATAAAAAAAAAAGCCACCTTACTCTGCAAGCTGGCTTTCCCCCAAGAACGACTCTCTCGCTGGGGAAAATCAGCTTGCAGAGCTAAACAGCGCTCTTGGCAGATTGATGTATGGGGAGACGCTGCAATTTTCGTTCAATGCAATTGCATTTTTCGCTATACATTTTTATTGCAGCTACCAGTCCATTTACAATTAGTATGAATTAACCGGGTTCGATAATATTGGGTTTGACTGTAGATCGAACATCGTAGCCTCGCTCCCAGTGTGCAAAGAAAGCGCTGTACCCCATGCGGCATTTCTCCTGGTCTGCCCACATTCACCTTGTCTGACCTCATAGTGCCTCTGACTGTACATGTGTGCTGCACAAGGCAAAACCAACAATAGGTCCATAAAAATATCTCAAATCGTAGTAAATTATAACTCACACTATACACACATTATGTGCAGAGCTAAGCACAGCACAGCCACAAAAGATTCTGTGCCCTTCCAGGTTGATCAGAAATACCCACCAGTTAGAGCGTCAATTTTTTCTTGTGTTAGGGGCTTCTTTCCCACCACACCCTCCTAGAGGAGACGCCTGCAGGCTTGCCCTGACATTCTCCTGTCCAAGAGCTCCGCAGGCTCCCATAGTGGTCGGCTGACCATTCTGAGTAAGCGGCCAGGAGTGGCAGCCTTTTCCATGGCGTGTGTAAATGCTGCCTCTCGCATTTTGATGCCAGGTCCAAGATGAATCTGCAGAGAGTCACATTGTCAAGCAAATGCACAAAAAGTGAAGAAATACAGGCAACACAAATGGGGCTGTCCACTTTTGTCTGCAATCATGTTCCTGCTTTGTTTCACTGAAATGCTGTATTGTACATATTATTACGAAGACGACGACACACATCTTTGGGAAATAGGGGCGCGCGCTGCATGTTTTCGCCACGCAAGCTGAGAGCAATTTGGCTGTTTCGCCATTGGTCGCCTCTGGTCTTCCCACATTGCACTATCAAATACGTCTCTCATAAACACCCTCACAATATATACAAATAAAAAAAAAAGAAATAAGTTAAAGGGGCATTTCCTAGTATTCCACGATTGCCTATTTATGTTCCTAACTCAACCTATGTGCTCTAAGCATCCCATAAGTCCAAAACTCACAATCATGTGCAGCTTATTTCACTATTAAAAAAATGTGATCAAAGATGGCGAATATGGTTGAATTGAATCAAGGCCAATGGGGTGGAACGGCGAAGAACACTCGTCACTCAATTGCAAGCGAGGGCTTCCTGTGCAGACGAGCAGGACTGGTCGACTGCTTGTCCGCACGTGAAGCCATCGCTTTGTGATTGTGTGATGAGCCCCGTTCGTTGCTCGCTTACATTCGGCCAGGTTCAGTGGTGCCATTTGTACGTCTCAGATTCACTATCTTTTATCAGATTTTTATTAGTGGAATAAGCTGCACATAATTTCACTTTAAATTTTTGGGATGCTTAGAGCACATAGAATGTGTTACAGCCATAAATAGGCCACCTTAAAAATCTCCCGAGAGCCGCTTTAAGAGAAGGAATTTCAGCTTTGGAAAGGAGGTCCATTATTGCTGTAAAATACTTATAATGATATAAAAAAATTGTTTCATAAAAGCTTATCACATATATAATATTTTAGGTACCCTTTAATGAACCATTTGACAATTTTTAAGTGCAGCATCGCAAAGTACAAAGGAAGTATACTGCTGTGCACTCCCATGTTTTGTACTAATATGTGCAGTCTCGGGCAGCCAAGCGATGCGAAAGAAACACCTTTGGGCTCGAATCCATGACAAGACATGAAATAAAAAACATGAATGAGTGTGCCATCACCATAGCTCACTACCTTCGCTTTCTGTGTTCAGAAATAGGCATCAATATGTCTCACCTCTGCCTTCTTTGCTAGTCTATACTAGCGAAGCGGACTAGCTTACTAACCCCTGGATAGGTGATAAGTAGGTATTATTGGCACTGCTAAACTGTAATTTGTGGGACACGGCTGTCAGATAGCACTGATGTCACTCTCACCCGCATGTACACTTTTTCGAAGATAGTGCACCTTCTCGTCCTATGGCAGGACATGAACTATCTTCTTTTATTTCTTTTTTTCTATTTTTAGTAGGAAAATAGGCATCGAACGAGCATAATTTTTCGATATTTAGGATCCTTATAGCCCGCCGAATGAGTTATCACCAAGAACAGACAATCTCAGAAACGTCTTTAGTCCACCTCTAAGCCAGGTACCTGTCTCTTTGTGTGCCTGCCTGTTTGTGTCCTTGTCTTTTGTGCCATTAGTCTGTTCTCCAGAATAAACCAATGGAGTGGAAACAATAAACAAAGTGCCTTGTAGGCCGAGACACATACCTCAGCATCCCGGACAGCAAAAAGAGGTGGCCAAGAAAAGGCCACAGCCTCACCAGGTGGAGCAGCCACAGCAGCACCGAGGAGAGCAAATTGAAGGTTAGAGAGACGAGTAACATCAAGATCTTGATTCGCTTAAACATTTAGGACAAACTGTAGCTTTAATAAAGAAAACGTTTGCCACACCACGTAATCCCAAATGACGGGCAATGCAGTATAAACAAAGCACAATATTCCTTCACAGCATCAATCTAGCCCCATGCTAAGGAGCTATGTTAGGTAGTCAAATCATTCAACCCCATGTCTTTGTTGTAGTAATTGAAGGAAGCATGCATATGCCCAAACAAAATGTAGGCTTCAGTTACTAATAGGGTGAGATTTCAGCAATGCATCATAAAACAAATGAAAGCGATTGGCTGGTTTTCACACCGTCAGTCAATCACTTTCACTTGTTTTATGATTTGTGAGGACGCAAAATTGTGGAGGTAGTGCCCGCTCTTCCTTGCGGTACTTTTAGGGAGGTGACATGAGGGTGCTGTGGTCACTACTATAAAAGTGGTATGCTAAGCTTATGATGTTGCCACAGCCAGGCTACTTTATGCACTAAATAAATGAAGACTACCTTTTGAAATCACGCCTTTAAGATAGTATTCATTCACATGCGATACTGGCAACCTGATCAACTCTTGTCGTTGCAACTACTCGTAGGTAATGACTGTGTCGTGCTATGCTGCATAAAGAAGTCATGAAATGAAGTCGTCCTGCAAGTGCATATTTAGATTGAGGCCCACCAGCACTGTCACCCTCTCAGTAGATTATTTTCTTCTTTTATACAGATCAAAACAAACTAGGTTTTGCAACATACAGTCAGAGGCGCCTTGGGCAACGACACTGTGTGTGTGTGTGTACGCGAGGGGGGGCAGGCAAACGCAGCAGAATCTTGATAATAGGAATCTCTCCACTTCACTCCCTCCCCTCATCGAAAGTAAAGTTACTGAAATATTAACCGGCAATGCAGTTTGGCACTACACGTTGCGCCATCTAGCGGCTGCAAAATAAGACACTGGGTGGGCCAGGACGGCCAAGATCGGGGGGCTGCGGGTGGGCGCATTTAAGAAACCATGTGTGAATGTGGCATTTCGGATTGGCGTGAGCCTTTTTGGGCACAGTTTCTCTTAAAAGTAAGTCCCGGCTTCACGTCTGTATGACCTCACCGAGCTCCTGTGACATCTCGCCTACTCCTAGAGTTCCCCCAAAGAATAAACGTCGCTACTGCTGCGTGAAAGACTGCCAAAGTCACGTAGGTGACTCAAGCGTCAAACTACAACGGTTCCCTTCGAGATCTTGGGAAGCGACACTGCAACAGAAGTGGATTACTGCAGTGCGACGCATCAAGCAAGTGAATTCTACAATAATTGTTGAAGTGAACGAAAATAGATGTGCAGGCTTGGAAAGTGGTTCGACGAACTCGTTTTGCAGACTACTCAGCAAAAATAACAAATTTATACCAGTTGTTTTACAAGTCACTTAGACAGCCACACAGGAAATACGGTAGAAACAATCGGGCCGATTGTTGCTTTGCTGTGCCGCCTAGAATCAGGCGATGAGGCCTTCAAGATGAGAGAGGCCCGTTGGCCCGTTCCGGCACTCGTAATTGTATGTGTCTATAGCCGTTCGGCACACGCGCAGTCACAACCAAAACCTTCCAAACCTGTGAGTTCTCAAATAGTGGATTTTCGCAGCACATTTGTTTGTTTTGGCAACCAAATTTAATGCTGAGTCTGGTAACAAATGTGACGGCATGCACAAAACAGGATGCGCAAGTTTTTCTTTAGAAAAAGATTATGCGAAGCATAAATATCCATCTCATACGCACACTTTGTTGCCTGTCACCTTTTTACACCAGGCTCGCGTACCACATTACCACATTACAGCCATTGCAACGTGCATACTCGTCTCACGCATGCAGTCTGGTTCCAATCAGGGATGCCGCAAACATTTTTCGAACTGAAGGTTCGGTGACAGAATCAGGCGGCTCGAAAGATTTCGAATTTTCGAACTTGTTGAACTAAGAATTTTTTTTTTTACCAATGGCACAGTTATGTAGGTCAAAAAGACAGCTTTGAACTTCCGAACCAGTAAGTATGTGAAGAGTAGTGCCTTCCAACTAGTTTCCAACAATGATCATCTACGCAATCTTTTATGAAGTGAAGAGCGACAGTAGCTATACATATGCATATATAATTTCAGATTAAAATAAAGATTAAGCTCAACCACGCCTCTTTTCCCGTATTGTTTTCTTTAACAGTCCGGAAAATCAGGGGAGGGGGAGGTAGCTTGCCAGATCGCTTTAAGGTTTTTCCGAGGCGCAACTTTTTGCCCGCCCCTGGCCGTTTCGAACTGAAGGAGTATCGTACGAGTGCGTTCATGTGATCACTGCTGCGTGATGCACGTTAAAGATTCTCCCGGGCTGGAGGTCGCAATTACTGCTACATGGCCAGACGTCACTCTGCACTGGCAAATATTCCAGCACATCTGGGACACTCGTCATCTCATTTAATTGCCTGACCAACTTCTGCATTCTAAATGTCACACCTAACTTTTTTAAACCTGATTTTGTGCAAACCAGTGAGGCGTGAAAATGCTATTTGAAACTGAAATTGTAGAGGAACATGAAAACCGGACTTCGAACTTTGCGCACTTGGAGAATCGAAACCTTCTAACTTTATGCAGAAGGAAATTCGAAATCTTAGATTTTTTCCAACTTTGGCTATAAAAATTTTACACGTTGAAATTTTTCGAATTTCAGATCCAAAGAAATTCGAAACCTTCTAACTTCTGATTCAAAGAAATTCTAAATCTTCTAATTTTTCGAACTTCAGATCCCAAGAAATTCAAAATTATTGAATCTCTCGATTTATTAGTTAGGAAAGTTCAAAAACTTTAAATTACTCGATCTCAGGTAAAAAAATATTCGAAATAATCGAACCCGTACTTTTAGAAACCGGTGTTCGGTGTTCACGTGTTCGAAAGTTAAAAACTTTTCGAATTTGCACATCGGTACGGTCGAAAATATCGAAAACTTTCAATTTGGACCTCAGATCAGTTTGAAAATATCAAAACCTTTCGAAGTCAAACCGAAGGAGGTTCGAGACATCCCTAGTTCCAATTAGAGCACTATATAGCTCCTACGGAGGAGAGTAGCGCAATCCTTTGATCCGCGTGCTTCGCCGACAAGATGGCCGACTGAGCAGCTCGGC